ACCAGTGGCTGCTGTCAGGGGATGGGGTGATCCGTCAGCCAGGACTGGGGTGGGAGGCGTCAGCCCCGCCTGAACCAGGCACGCTGAGAGGAAAAAAGAATCGTTTCCCCTGAGAAGACGAGGGGGCCACTACCAAGAGGAGGAACAGACACCGAGCCATCAAAAGTGACTGCTGGGCCCCACAGAAGCCCGCCGACGGCCTCAGGCCCTTCGCTGACCTTGGCGACACAGCCTACAGCTACAGAGACCCTCGCGGGAAAGTCAGCTTCTCAGAGCCAAACCTAGTTCCTGATGGAAACGCGACTCCAGTCCTGCCCCGAGTCTGGTTCCTGCTCCTGCTCCCACCCTGCGTGCCGTGAGCCCCAGGCCTGCCCTCCAGGAGCCCGGGGACCTGCACAGCCACGGACGCCACCGTATCCAATGGTGCCTGACAGTCTGCGCCTCGCTGGACCATCAGACGCCCGAGGCGGAGACCGTGTCTGTCTGGCTCACCGCAGCCTCCCTGCGCCTGACACATAGTAGGTGCTCCAGCGACGCTCGGGAAGGGGAGGAACACAGCCTGGCGTCCAGCGCGTAGGAGGCGCTCCCCAAATATTGATGACCCGTGAATCCCGGGGATGCTCCACAAATACGCATCGACGAATGACAGTATTGCTGGGCGTCACACACAGTAGGTGCCCCACAGACAGCTGGTGAATGGCCAGGTCCTTCGGGCCCGCACAGAACAGGTGCTTGACAAACAGCTGGGGAATAAACAGATGACTCTCCATAGAAGCCGGGCTGCCAGCACCCCGACATTTTGGGTCATTAAGGAGATGGGTGGGGAGATGGGGGGGTGGTGAATGAATGAATGAATGAATGACAGGAACCCTGTCTGGGGTCCGGCTGCCAGAGGAGGGTGCGTGGTCCCTGTGGGAGGCCTCAGACGGACAGAGCCTCAAGGCTGCTCCGGGAGCAAACCGCCGTTTGGGAAGAGACCTGGGTCTCCGTGAGCCGGAGGGGGTGGGGGCTGGGGGAGGAGCCCCCCCACCGTGCAGGCCCCGCCCCTGCCCGTGCCCCCCCCCACCCCAGGATGGCATCCAGCGTGGCGGTTCCGGGCAGCCTCCCAGCAGGCGGAAGCGAAGGGAACACAATCTGTTCTCTTTGTCGCAGCTGCCAGGACGCTGCACCGCCCCCGCCCCGCCCCGCTGAGCCACCGCCGCTGTGACCTTCCTCGGCCAGCCAGGCTGGGGGTGCTGAGAGCTGCCGGCCCAGACTGGCTGACTGGGAGAAACGACAGGACTAAACCGAAAACAGCCTGCTGGGCCTCCTGGCCTGTGTGGATCCCTAAATACAGCCCCGGGTGGGGAGGCATTTACATCCTGGCTCCTCCTCTTTGTAGCTGTGTGACCTTGGGCCAGTCACTCAACCTCTCTGTGCCTCTGTTTCCTCATCTGTAAAATGGGGATGATAAAAATACTGGGAGAGGCTGGAGGCGTCTTGAGTGTGTCTGGCATCTGCTGGCTGTCCTTCCATCTGTTGTTCAGGGAACTGGCGCTTCCCGCATCAGTGCAGTTGGCAGGGCTGGGTGTCTCTGCCCTAGACGGAGGAGGCGGGGGAGGAAGGGCACGTGCTCAGAGGGGATTCTCTGCCTGAGCCCCAGGGCTGTCCCCCGCTCTGCCCACGCACACCCAGAGGACCTACTGGGCGCCTCGTGGGTGCCCATCCTGCGCTGATGACAGACAGGCAGGGAGGGGAGAGAAGGGACATGAAGAGTGGGAGGTCTGGGCTCTGCCGGTGAGACGCTGACCGCCACGTGAGCTGGGTTAGAAGACAGCCAGGCTCTGGGGACGTGTCCCCAGGCCCCCGAGTTCTGTGGGGGTGGAGGGGATGTAGCAGGCATGGAGGGCTTTCTGGAGGAGGTGAGCTGGGTTTGAATCTTGCCTCTGCTGCATCTTGGGCAATGTCTTCACCTCTCTAGGCCTTGTGACCTCATCTTTTGGAGACTTCAAGAGAAACAACAGCCCAAGTCAATCAGGCCTCTGACAGTCAGGATTAGGGCCTTTACGGAGAAACCAGGACATCTGAACTTGGCTTTTGTGGGAGGAAATGCCAGCAAGGCCTTGGCCCCGCTGATCAGGGCGACCCTGCCCCAGCCCGGACGGTCCAGCGAGAGCCAGCCCTGCACTGAGGTTGCGCTCCAGTCCCGAGCCACCGAACACCTTGGCAAGTCACCGAACCTCCCAGACTCAGCGTCCCCATCTGTAAAATGGGACGCCGCGGACGCCGTGGCCGTGAGTGCCCACGCTGACAGACGCAGCACAGTACCCGCTCGATGGGTCGCAGCAGCTCCTCCTCACTTCCAGAGCCAGGGGGAGCCTGGAGGAAGAGGGGCGACCCCGGGCGGCAGAGGCCAGGGCTCGTTATGCCAGAAAGAGACTCGGGCCCACGGGAGCAGCCGCACGGGGCCTCAGCGACCTCAGGGGCGCAAGCCGGATCCGTCGTCGCCTCGTGACTCACTCCTGTGCTGGCGGAGGCCAGGCCGTCCTTCCTTCATAGGTTTGTCTATTTCTTCACTTCTTTTGTACTTTTTAATTTGTTGTTCCATAACATAATGGACACTCGTGAGTCCACCCCCCGCGGCCAGAACAAGAGTGTGACTCACGAGGCCGGGCCCCACGTGTCCCCATCTGCCCCGGAAGGGAGCCCCGTTCCTCCGCCGAACAAACACTCACGTTGTCCTCACTCCGGCCCAGACACGTGATCCTGAATTTGTTTGTCATCCCCAGGCTTTTTGGCATAAAGATTTCTGGTGTGAGGACGCCTGTGTGCCTGTCTACACCCATGGTGCTCAGGCTGGAGCGAGCTCAGAATGACCTGGAAGGCTTGAGGACGGATTGGGGCCCCAGGCCCGGAGTGGCGGATTCCGCAGGTCTGGAGCAGGCTGAGAACCTGCGTTTCTGGCACATCCCCCCGGATGCGGATCCTGCCACTCTGGGGGCCGCTCTCGGAGCCCCATGGCCCTACATAACCCAGTCCTGAGCTGCAGGGCGTCGTGTTCTCCGAGACGAGATTTTTTCACTCGACCCTGGTCATTCTCAACCGGAGCGATCTTGCCTCTAGGGGACACTGGGCAGTGTCTGGGGACATTTGCGGTTGTCACCACGGGTCGGACGTGGGTGCTCCTGGCATCGGGGCGGGGGGTAAAGTCAGGGATGTTGCTAAACACCCTGCGATGCCCAGGACGGCCCTGCCCCAGTGTCCGCAGCCCCAGGGAGAGGAAAACACACGTCCACACGGAAGTTTGGACACGAACGTCCACAGCAGCGTTATCCTACGAGCCAAACCACGGGAACAATCCACATTCCGGTCAGCCGACAAATAAATAGACAGAATGGGGTCCATCCACACACTGCAATAGGATCCCGCCTTGAGGAGGAACGAAGTGCTGACCCCTCTATGCTGAGCCTCGAAAATACACTAAATGAAAGAAGCCAGACCCGGACGGCCACCCACGATGTGACACGCCCAGCACAGGTGGATCCAGAGACGGAGAGCAGAGTGGGGGTTCCGGGGCCGGGGGTTGGGGGAGGGACTGCTGATGGGGGGGCTCCTCTCAGGGGGACGAGGATGTGCTAAAAGGGATTGTGGCGATGTTACACAACTCTGCGAACAGAAGAGAATCCATTGAATTATGTGATTTAAGCGAATTGTGTCTTATGTGAATTACATCTCAATAAAGCTGCTATTACAAGATAATAATGAGGGGCCGGCCCCGTGGCCGAGTGGTTAAGTTCTCACGCTCCACTTCAGCAGCCCAAGGTTTCGCCGGTTCGAATCCTGGGCATGGACATGGCACTGCTCATCAGGCCACACTGAGGCGGCGTCCCACATGCCGCAACTAGAAGGACTCACAACTGAAAATATACAACCATCTACCAGGGGGCTTTGGGAGAAAAAGGAAAAATAAAATAAGACGATTGGCCACAGATATTAGCTCAGGTGCCAACCTTTAAAAATAATAGTAATAATAATAATGAGGAAAAACCATCGATAGCATCCCGGTTGAGAAACCCCGCCGTCCACTCCGCTCGGCCCGGAGCTGCCGTTCACCGACCCGCTGCTCTGGGACAGTCGCGGCACGGACACTCGCCGTGTGTTCATCGTTTCCCACCCGTGCGTATGTGGGTCGGCTCCGGGTTCTGCTCCAGTGACCAGGGCGCCCCGCACACTCCTGCGCACGCCGCCTGCACACACGCGTGTGAGTCCCCTTTGGTCTGGAGCTAAGAGGGGACCTGCGGAGTCACGGACGGGAGAGCTCACCTGCGCCCGAAGCCGTGGGCCCCACGCAGGCCTTCCCACGCACAGGCGCGAGAGAAACACGCAGCTGCGCTGCCGTGGGCTTGTCCCTGCAGCCGTGTTACCGGGTCCCTCCTGGAGGCGAGGACACGAGGCCCAGAGCGGTGAGTTCCGGCTGGGCCAGGGCAGCAGAGCGGACAGGCTCTTGTCCCACGGCCTCCTCAACGCCCCTGCGAGCCCGGGCACTCCCCCTCCCGGAGCAGGAGCAGCTCTGAAAAATTCCCCAGAGCGTCGGCCCCGCCGGGTGTGGGGAGGTGACAGCAGGCGACAACTTGCTTAGAAAACCGCCCATTGCTTCTGAGACATAGATAGGAGACTCCAGGAAGCTCCCCAGGGTGCGGCTGGCTGAACTTTCTAGAACGGCTGGCAAACCTATACCACACATCGCAGCTATCTCCTCAGCACCCAGACTGCCCCCCCCCCAACTCCTCCTGCCCGCCCTGCGTCCACCTCAGAACGTGCCTGCACACAAGCGGGACAGGGCGGCCCAGCGGCGATGCCTGGGGGTCTGCACACTGCGGGCCTCCTGCCAAATCCCACTTTTATGCTGGACTTGCTGTGTGACCAGGGGCAGTGACCTGACATCTCTGAGCCGGTCTCCTCACTTAACACAATGGGGACATTAACTCACGGGGGTACCTCTCAGGCCACAGACCCAGCTCTGCGAGATAGACCCATTTTTATTTCTTTCCAATTGACAAGTGCCGATTCCAAGGAAATTCAGTCTCGGTCTCAGGAGTGGGCTGCTCCGTGCTGTGTCGGATGAGAGACCAAATGACCGAGGGGTCCCTCCGGCCGCCCGTAAGATGTGCAGGATGCAGCCCGCGGTCCCTCTGGTGGAAGCTCCGCAGCGTCTGCATGGCGGGCAGCCGTCCACGCGGGCGCAGAGGCAGCGCCCAGATCCTGTCCCCTCCCGGCAGCACCGCGGGATGAGGTGACCAGGCCAGCCTGGCTCTGCGACTCCAGCCTGTGGAACCCCCTCTCCCTCGGCACCGCTCCAGAGCCGACAGCTGCTCACATTGGGTCTGGGACGCCCGGCCCTGTGAGAGCGCGCAGCTGGGACCGGATGCTGAGCCGCCGCCCACCCCGCGCCCTCGCTCCCGTCGGATGCCGCAGAAACGGTCAGGCCACTTTCGCAGCAGCCACCTGCCCGCCACTGTCTTTCTCTCCCGCTTCTGAGAGCTGGACGTGGGTCTGGTTCTGGCTCCACGTCCCCTGGGCCGTAAAGGACTGTATCCTGGGGCTGCTGGAACAAGACGGAGGGACAGGGTCCCCAGACTCTCCTGCCTTCCCTGACGCTCGCCTCCCTTGGCACATCTCCCAGCAGAAACAAACTCCTCTCCTGTCTGAACCTGTGTGTTTGGGGGTTTCTTTGTTACAGCAGCTGAGCCTATACCCTGACTGATTAATACATGGGGTTTTCACAAAAGGCATGAGATGGCTAATTTTATGTATCAGCTTGACTGGACCAAGGGCTGCCCCGGTATTTGGTCAAACACCATTCTGGGTGTGTTTCTGGATGAGATTAACATTTGAATCCATAGACTGACTGAAGCAGATTGTTCTCCCCAATGTGGGTGGGCCTTGTCCAATCAGTTGAAGGCCAGAATAGAACAAAAAGGGAGTAAGGGAGGATGCACTCTCTCTGCCTGACTGTCTTCATGCAGGGACGTCCGTCTTCCCTGCCTTTGGACTCAGAGTCAGACTGGAGCTTATACCACAGCCTCCTGGGCCTCCAGCGTGCAGACGGCAAATCGTGGGGCTTCTCAGCCTCCATAACCACGTGAGCCAATTCCTTCTAATGAGTCTCTAGATAGGGAGATAGACAAGTAGATAGACAGACAGACAGACAGATGGATAGATAGATAGACAGACATAGATACAGATGATATGTGGATGTAGATATTGATATGGATATGGATGTGGATGTGGATATCCCATTGGTCTGTGTCTCTAGAGAGCCCAGCTTAATACAAGGCAGATAGATAACTGTCTTCCAGAAGCTTCTACTCCCTGCTTGGTAAAAACAAAATCAAGAAAATTCACAGAGTGATAAACTGTCTTGGAATCGGAGGAGGGAGAATGACGGGGAATAAACGGGAATGAATATCGCTGAGGAATCCCGCCTGAAGGTGACGAGGCCAGAGCGTATATTTGAAACTTGCCAGAGAACAAATCACCAAAGTTCCCCTGACAAGATAAAGACAGTGTGGCTGTGTGTGATGGACGCTAACTGAGCGATTCTGGTGCTCATCGTGATACCCACATGTATCGAGTCATCGTCTTGTACGCCCCAAACTAATACATTGTATGTCAGTTAGATCCCAATAAAACTGGGGAAGAAATAAAGTTTTGAAAAGAGAATCCTGCTGCAGCAATGCCCACACGGGGGCCGTGTGGAGGAGTGAGGGGCCGAGGCCCAGAGCACAGGTGGCTCCCGGGGCCAGGTATGCAGCAGAGAGGCCACTTCCAGGGGATGGCGATGACGGCGGGCGGCAGTGGCACAGTGCAGCGAGACATGCCTCTGCTGTCTTCCAGGGCAGGCGACGCTGTGCACGCATTTCACAGTCGCAGCAAGTCATGACTGAGCACCTGCTGGGTGGCGGGCCCTGTTCTGGAGCCTGGGGACGCAGTGGGGCGGCCCTCTCCGAGGCGTGTGACTATCCGTGAGGCGCCACGCAGGGCTCTCCAACGCCAGGCTGACGAGCGCTCATGCCCAGCGGAGCCCTGGAAGGTCACAGCAGAGGGACGCAGCCATGGCGGGGGGAGGGACGAATCTGGCGGGAAAACACAGGATGGATTCGAGTCAGATGATGAGCATCCCCAGGAGGGAGAGGCCCAACCCCGCCTTCCGCGCTGGCTCGGCAGACGGCTCTCTCTGATAAATGAGAACCGTCTGGCTTTCCCATCACCTGTCACGTGGTGGGGCTTTTCTAGCCCGACGCCCACAAGAAGTTAGCACGGCCGTGTGACTGGCCCGGACCAAGGAGATGTGAGCGCAAGTGAGGGAAGTTGCTTCTGAGCAGGAGCTGTAGGAGCCAGTGCGGGATTTGCCCCGGGCCACGGGGTGCTCTTAGCGTGGATGAGACGCTCCAGGAGTCGGGGTCCCGGAGTGAGGAGGGTGGAGCCAAGCCACCAGCCAACCCACCACAGACACGCGGCAGGTGAGAAATGCACGTCGGTTGTTTGAAGCCGTGAGATTGGGGCTTGTTTGTTATGGCAACATAGCTGAGCTGGTGCTGACCAATGCATCTCCCTCTCACAGACGAGGAGACGGGGTCTGGAAGAGGCCACGCAGCTGGCCCAGGGCCGGACGGGGGGGCACGTCCAGGACTCACAGCCAGTGTGCGGGTCGCCGCGACCTTCCCAGAGGCGGGCTGTCTCCGGTCGGAACAAACCAGCCAAACCCCTGGCTGCTCACCCCGTCAATTACAGCCAATTTCAAGGTCTCCTGGTTTCTAAATGAACAGCCCTGATCGTGTTCGTTACGGGCCCTGTCTGCTCGGGCCGCGCGTTTTATCAGGAGCCGCCAACAAGACGGATGGCCCCGTAGCTGACCGTTCCAGAGCAAAGCTCCTCGCAGCAAGTGGCCACACGGATGCCAGGAATAAATCACGGCGGGGTGGCCATGCGTCCTCAGCGCTCCCGCGAGGCACGGCCAAGGGCGGGAAGGCCTGGAGCAGCGTGGACCCTGGGGGGCTTCGCCGAGGCCCATGGGGCCGCCGGGAGGTCTCCATCAGGTCCCGAGGTCTGGGGGAGCCTCGTGTTTCTCTGCTCAGCATCTACTTCCCCTTATTGAGGTCTAACCGTACCCACGTTTTCTTGGGGAAACCATCTCTCCTCCATGGCCAGTCCACGTGGTCGGGGGTCCTCCCTTCCCCCCGCAACAGGGAGTGGACACGCGCTCCAGCCTGGCCCGTAGGAGCCCACGGCCTGCCTCGGCCGAGGCCGGCTCAGGTGGGTCTGCACAGTGGGGTGGCGGGTCAGTTCTCAGACTCCTGCTGAAGCTGTGAGGAAGGATAAGTTCCCTTAACACAGGTTCCTCCCAGAAGGCGCGTCTGTGCCACCCACTGTGTCCAGCCACCAGCACAGTTCCAGGCAAGGGGTCGGTGCTGAATGACAGAACAAGCAGGCGGGAGCTCCCTGCCATATTGAGACAGCCCCTCCGCCTGGCTGGCCTCAGCTCCTGTCTGCAGAATGAGGCTACAACAGCACTGACCGATGGCTGGTGTGTCAGTTGGCTCTGGCTAACAAAATGCCCAGTAACAAGTGGCCCTAACGTCAGTGGCTTAAAACCACGGCCACGTGTTCTCATTCACGTGCCCCACCTGCCTCTTGTCCCCCTCGGGTCAGCGGGATCCTCCAGGCGTGTCGTCTCGCCCGATGGCAAGGGCAGGGGGGAAGCATGGGGTCCCCTGAGGGCTGGGGGCCGAGCCAGCATGGCAGCACTTCAGCTTCACTCCTTTGGCCACAGCAAGTCGAGTGGCCGCACCAAAGCCAGGGCTGGGGACGCGCACTCTGCCCCGGGTGGAAGAAAGGTCGAGGCAGGGAGGGGCGGAGCTGGGCCAGCTGTGCCGGGTTGCGTGGCCGGCCCTGACTCTTGTGCCACTTGCCCTCGCTCGGAGCCACCTACTCCAGGGAGCAGAACCAGGGCTGGCACAGAGCCGCTGCTCAGCAAATGCCTGTCCAGCTGAGCAGCTGCCCCCTCCCTCTGCCGGCCCGAGGACTAAAGCAGACACTCACACAGGAGGTCGGGGTCACAGAAACCTGCCAGAGCCACGCTTCTGACCCCGCCGCAGCCTTGACGCTCCCAGTGGGGTGACCGTCCCATCTCTGTCCCCCAATAAACAGCAGAGCCGGGGGTCCAATTGGCGGGAGGGGTGGGTATTGCCTCTGGGGACTGACTGACTGACCTTGGCCAGTCCGAGCCAGGTCATCTCGTGTCAGCCGGTGGTCCCGGGAGGCCCCGCCCGGCAGCTGACGCCCAGCCCAGGACCAGGAGGCTCAGCTTCAGCGCCGTGCTGAGGACGCAGCTCTCTGCGGTGGGAGGAAGTGGCCCCGAGGCCCCAGGAGACAGGACAGCCGGCTGTGGCCGTGTGCTCGGCCCGAGTCCCTGCCCGCAGCCTCCCAGCCCCGCCTGCGCGGTTTCCCTGAGCCCTCCTTCCTGTCTCTGAAAACAGCAATGTCACTGTCCCCTCCCCCTCCCGCCTGCCCCTCCCTGGGGAGCTCGCTGCCCCTGCGTCTGTGCGACCCGCAGCTCGGCCAACGTCCAGGTGCACGAGGCCCCCCCAGCCCGGCCTGCAGACGCTTCCATCTGCCCTGCGCCCCCCACTGCAGGCCACGCGGCCTGGCTCCTCTCTTCCGAGCTCCTCCCTCTCAGCTGGGCTGAGCCAGCCATCTGCGCGGGGGGTGGGGTGGGGGTGGGGGGAGGCTGGGCTGGAGGCCTCTGAATCAGGGGCCCCCCGCTCCCCCACGGCTGCGTTGTCACTGCCCCCCCACCCCAGGCCCCAGCAGAGGGGCAGTGCCTGTCACCAAACACCAACCCAGCTGTCTCTGGGCTTTGCCCGGGGCAGATAAACTCTGGGTACATCCTGATAGAGACGGATCGTCACTCCCAGCGCCCAGCAGCTTGGGGGTGGGGACGGTGTAAAGTCACAGTCATCAGACAAGAAGTCTGCAGGAAACGCACATGGGTGTCACCTGATGGGCAGGTGCTGGGCGCCCGGCACCGTTCCAACACCATACTCTTCCCACCTTCGCCCTCCACGGATAGACACTGTCACCCATTGCACAGAGAAGGAAACTGAGGCTCAGAGCGGGTGGCTCAACTGAGAAAACAGCTAGGAAGTGGCAGAGCTGGGGTCCAAACCAAGCTCTCTGCCCCAGAGCCTCCCCCCTCGCGGCTGCTCTGTGGACGTGTGGACGCCGCTGGGCTAAAGCCCACAGCACCTGGGACCCAGCGATCCCGCTGCCCGGGAAACATCCAAAAGGACTGAAAGCAGGATCTCAAAGAGATTTTTGCACACCCACGTTCACAGCAGCGTTGTTCGCAACAACTGACAGGTGGGAGGAACCCAAATTTCTATCAACAGATGAGTGGACAGCAAAACGTGCTCTGTCCAGATGATGGAATATGATTCAGCCACAAAAAAGAAGGAATCTGGGCCAGCCCGGTGGTGCAGCAATTAAGTTTGCACATTCCGCTTCAGCAGCCCGGGGTTCACCGGTTTGGATCCCGGGCGTGGACCTACCCACAGCTCATCAAGCCACGCTGTGGCAGGCGTCCCATATATAAAGTGGAGGAAGATGGGCATGGATGTTAGCTCAGGGCCAGTCTTCCTCAGCAAAAAGAGGAGGATTGGCAGCAGCTGTTAGCTCAGGGCTAATCTTCCTCAAAAAAAAAAAGGAAGTAAATCTTGTCACATGCTACAACGTGGATGAATCTGGAGGACATTATGCTGAGTGAAAGAAGCCAGTCATAGAAGGACAGACACTGTGGATTCCACTCACACGAGGTCCCCAGAGGAGTCGCGTCCACAGACAGTAGGATGCAGGGGGCGGGGGGCTGGGGAGGGGGTGGGGGAGTTAGTGTTCCGTGGGGCAGAGTTTCTGTTTTGCAAGATGGAATCGTTCCGGAGATGTGTTTCACAACAATGTGAATGTACTTAACACGAGCGAACTGTCCTGAAAATGGATAAGATGGTGAATTTCCTGTTGTGTGCTTATTACCTCAGTGAACGCACACACACCCGTCATTGTCGTCACCATCAGAGGAAGAATTGCCCCGCTGTGTGGCACTTTTCAGACACCCACTGGGCTGCTGTAAGCCTTTGACCGCAACCTGATGACAGACGGCACCGATGGTCCTGGTTCCTCGCTCTGCGTGTCCCCACGCCTCTGCCAGGTGGCCGTGCGGTCCCTCTCACTGAGGCCGGAGAGTCTCCCCGGGGGCCCCTCGAGTCTGAACGGGGCTCGTGACTGGCTTTCCGTGAAACAGTTCCAGGGTGCTAGTTCCCAGCTGGGCCGTGCGGGCCGGGCCTGTTTCTGCCTGTCCTCCCGACCCCCGGCCCCGGGGTCACACCCGGGCTAGGCTGCTGGCAGAGAGGCGGAGCGCGGGGCAGAGGTCTCACAGCGGCCTGGGCCGAGGCCGTCCTCCACCAGCCAACAGCCAGCTGCCACCAGACGCGTGTGAGCCCGGCTGAGACGGGGAACCCCGCCGAGCCCAGCCCCATCGCTGCCCTGCAGACTCGTGAGCCAAAGAGACACCATTGTTTGAGGTCACTGACATGTGGGGCCATTTGTCACTCTGCATCGTTTTGCCCAGAGATAACTGATACAAACTCACACAGAAGGCCTCCGTCTGTTCGTTCATTCATCCAACTGTTCAGAGGGGGCTCAGACTAAGACCCCAGCAGCCCTGACAGGGTGATGAGTGCTGCGAAACCTTATGGAGGGGCTGCCGGAGAAGGGAAGGGCATGTAGCCAAGGCCTGGGGGGCCGGGGAAGGCTTTCTGGAAGAGGAGTTCTTTTTTTTTTTTTTTTTTGAGGAAGATTAGCCCTGAGCTAGCATCTGCTGCCAATCCTCCTCTTTTTGCTGAGGAAGACTGGCCCTGAGCTCACATCCGTGCCCATCTTCCTCTACTTTATATGCGGGACGCCTACCACAGCATGGCTTGCCAAGCGGTGCCATGTCCGCACCCGGGATCCGAACCGGCGAACCCCGGGCCGCCGAATCAGAACATGCAAACTTAACCGACGCACCACCACGCCGGCCTTGGCGGAGTTCTTGAAGGAGGTCTGAAGAAGTGAGAGACAACGGGTGGGGGTTGTGTGTAGGCAGGAGCAGAGGAGGGGGCCCCGGGCGGGAGGAGCAAGGGCTGAGGCCCTGGCTGGTTGGGGACAGAGCCCGGCTGCTTCGAGAAGCGCGAGGACATTGGGAAAGTCGTGCTATGGCCATTTCGGAGCTGGGACTGGATCCGGCGCCCCGGGGGGATGTCAGCCGCATCCTGCCAGATCCGTTGTGCACTCGAGACCGGCACTGGGGGTGGTGGGGCGGAAGAGCTGTCAGCGGAGCGCGCGATTAGCCCCAGCCGGCCGTGAAGGCTGCCCGGACAGTCAGCGCACCGTCCCCAGGTCACCAGGAGGTGCCGGTGCCCGGCCATCTCAGCTGCCCTTTCCCGGCCTGGCCCCCTCGTGAGCAGCGATGCGCACACTCAGGTTGTCCAGGGTCCCGCTCCATCGTCATGCCGGCTCCCCAGGGACCACGCGGTGGCAGAAACGAGGGTCTCTGCCAAGTGCCCTCTGTCTCCCCACCAATGAGCAGACCGCCGGCGGGTGCAGAGGCCACCCGGCCCCCTCGGGAGCCAGGACGCCCCCAGGCCACCTCCAGAGTCGCCAGAGGGCGCATTTGCTGGTTCTGGGCAGGGACTGAGGGCAGCGAAAACCGTCCTGCCAACCCCATCCAGACATGGCCACCTGGCCCCGCCGCCAACGCCCTACCCCGGCAAGACCCCCCAGCCACCAGCCAGGACGACCCGCTGGCATCCATCACTCCGGAGAAGACAAATAAAGCCACTGCCATTTCGTTGTCCCGGGATTAATGTCCCTGCTGCGAAAACAAACGTCGCGTCTTCCCGCCAACATTTATTTTTGATAAATGCTGTGACTCTGCCTTGACATTTCAGAAGCAGCAGGAGACCGTTACCCGGTGACGATGTTCTATTCCACTGACATTATCTCTTAATTATAATATGCAAGTAACGCTGGAAAAAATGGCCCAGAAATAGCTCGCTTGGAGATGCTGCGCTCTGCCCTGTCGGGGAAATGCTGAGCAACTTCATTCAGCGCTTGCAAATGAGGGGAGACGAATGGATCTCGGGGGGCCTGTGTGCGTCCTGCCTCTTCAGTGACAAGGCCCAGGGGTGGCGGGGAGGCGAGGATCCCAGGGCACCGGCTGGACTCCCCTGTCCCCAGGCCCCCGCCCCTCCATCCCCATCTCAGACTCAGAGGGCGCGTCACCCCAGCGCCAACCCGCAGCCTGCCAGCTCCAGCCCCGCGAAACGGCTCACGGTTTAGCGCAGAGGGGACGGTGGTGATTTTTTTTCAGGAAATTAATTCCGTTCAGGGGCAGGAAGGTCGAGGGGAGAGCCGGCAGGAGGAAATCCCATTTAGCAAACCCTCTGGGGCCTTCAGGGCGGAAGAAAGACTCGCCCAGTTCGGAGGGCGCGGGGTCCTGGGGGGCGCCCTCGGGGGCTGTGGACATGGGGGGAGCTCTCAGGCTCTCAGGACGACATTTGTGGGAACCTGACACGTCGGGGGCAAGAAGGGCCACGTGGGTGCATGTTGGAAAGCCTCGCCGCTCCAGACACAACCAGTGAGAACTCAAACTCCAGCAGCGGTTCTCAGCCGGGGTGGCCCCGGGGACGCCGGGCTGTCTGGAAACAGCTCGCTGGTTGTCACGACCGAGGGCTGGGGCTCCTGGCGTCTGGTGGGTCGAGGCCAGGGGTGCTGCTGGACGTCCTGCAGCACCCAGGGCAGCCCCCCATGAAGAATGATCTGGAACTAAGGCTGGGGGGCCCAGGCTGAGAACCCAGGGGTGTGGGAGAGAAGGTGGACGGGCAGGTGGGGAAGTCAGGGGCCTGGGAGAGTCTGGAAACGCACCTCCGGTCTCCAGCTCCCGAAGGAGCCACACCTGCAAAGCCCCTGGGCCGCGTCAGACCCCGGGCTCTGCCTGCAGAGGAGGGCGCAACCGTCACTGTCCCTGTTGCCTCCGTCGCCCCCTCTCCGTCTGTTCACTCCCCGCTGGTCAACGCTGCTTCTCAGGAGGACACCCTCAGACTGGGGCGCTGGCTTCAAGTGGCCACAGAGTGGAGACGAGGGGCTCCGGGCTGTGGGACATCCCCAGGGGTCCATGCACTGCTGACGGGCCGCCAGAACGTGTTCCCATGTCCGTGTCGGTGTCCGGGTCGGCCCTCCGCCAGCGTCTAGGAGGCTCTCCCAGGAGTTCAGGCCCGGGGCGGGGTCACCGGCTCAGGGGCCACCAGGGCACAGCAGCCTTTAGTGAGCAAGGCTGGGCCCGGCCGTGACCTGGCACCCGGAGGACAGCGGGCAGGCACATGGGCCCAGCGTGGCCAGATCTCCGGATTTTGTAAGAGTAGCTGAAATACAGATTTTTTATAGGAAATCTCTTGATTTTACAATATTGGCTGCTAATTTCAGGGTTTTCTCTCCCCTTTAAACACTGTGTGAGCCAAAGTCAACATGTTGACAGGTGCCAGCTTGCACCCTTCCGTCTGGTTCAAGGTCATTCCTTCCCCTGGGAGGTGACCCCACACCAGCCCGGAGTTGCCCTGGAACTCACCTGCCCCGGGGGTGTGGCCACA